AGAACACAGACTGGAAAAGCGCCAGGGGAATGAAAAGGTTTTATATTCTTTGCGAGAACATTTGAGTCACTTGGCCTACTGAAAGTGTTTTGAGGTGCATTCACTGTTGATTGCATTTGTTTTCCAGGCTCACTGCCACTACATCACTGTGAAAAACTTTGCAGAAACTGTGGAGAAACTTGAGACCAAGGCTGGCATCCAGAAGATTATGAAACATCTTTGCGACCTCTTTGCGTTACACGGGATCTTCTCGAATGCAGGAGTCTTCTTGCATGATGGATACATATCTGGAGCTCAAATGGACATGGTCACAGCATCATACCTGGACCTCCTGGCTATCATTCGGTGAGCTGCTCCAGCGTGAGAGGAGATACACAGCTATTCCGTTTGTCCCTGTGATAGATAGAAACTGGTGCTGCTTTACCTATGGCAACATCTCCAAAGTCAATTCACCTCACTGGGTTTTTATTTTCATTGCCTGGCAGCATTAGAAATTGATTGAAACATCTACCCAGAGCTTGTTTTCACAGCAAAACAGACCTGAGTGTCCAGCTCCTCTGCAATCTTTAAATTAAAGTTCTATAACATGAGATCTTAAATCAGGAACTCCTGTTTGCAATAGAGCAAAAGCAGGAAAATATGTAGTGAGAGCAGCACTGGCAGGAGGCAGCCACAGCAACTGATCATACGCTGCAAAATCTGCTTAAGCTGCAGCTAATACAGCCAACTCTGTTGCCATGGCTCAGCTGCAACGGGTACCCAAACAGTCCTGCCTACAGCTCGTTCAGATGCATCTGCTCGACACCATTTGTTACTAGCTGTGTGTATTCTGAGATATGCTAAGGTTTGAACTTCCCACAACACTCACAAAGGGTTAATCTTTCACTACTTGGTGCTGGTTTTTAAGATGATATTAACTTCTGGTGCAGAGAAGTGAGTTACTACTGTATGTAAAACTCTACTTAAGTCACCTAGAGAGAAACAAGAATGCACCATAACCAAGGGCTGAACAGGACTGAGCCAACCAGCAAGCACTGGCAGAACCGATCACAGAAATCCAGTTAAACAATAAGCTTAACATAACATTGCCAAAAAGCCTAACACGTTCTCGGCTCTGGAATTCATTGCAGCTTCTCCAGGTCAGCCCGTGCCTAGTTAACAGGATTCAAGAATGCAATGGGTATTTACCTGGGTAATTAAAGTCAGTTATTTACAATTAGGAGAAAGGATACTAACACTTCCCAGACTGTAACAAAAATCCATCCTTTTTCAACCCCCTTTCCCCCAGCCCTTCCCCAAAAAGAACTGGTCAATGCAAATGCCAACGTTTGAGCAAACTGCTTTGCATCCCTGTACCTCAGGTGTGGGCTGACAGCACGGCTTCCTGCACCCAGGACAATGGGAGGACGAGGAAAAAGAAACTCTCTCCTGCTTAGGAGAAGATGCTGTTGTCACATACTCGCCCTTATGCTCTCCTCCAGCTCTGTGCTGCTGACTGCTCTCAGCCTGGCCGCTGGGCTAGACGGGCCCCTGGTGTGGTTCGGGGTCGCTTTGTTCTTACAGACACAAAGAGAGTAGGAGACCTTGACACCCTGTGGTGAAGTAACAGAAATACTCAAGAGTAGACGAAGGCTGGAGATCAGCAAAGCACTTCCCATCATCAATCCAGCAGCAACCTTATTCCATTTTGTAAGACAAACATACAGCGTAACAAACAAAACAGCAGAAACCAAAAGCAGCAATTGGCAGAGTCTGCTGAGAAAACATCTGACCTGAGACTAGGTCCTAAATTAGGGAATTAGGGACAGACCCGAGGTGATTACAAGAGTCTGCAAATACCCTGTATTGAATAACAATACAGATGGCTCAGGGCGTTAGTAGAACTGTCCTCTGAGGAATCAAAACAAGCAGGATTTTCCCCACAGTGAAGGCAAGGGGCAAACTTTTTAGACTGAGGAACCTGGACAACCTTCATGCTCACTTTGACTTGTTTTCCTCCCTTACAAAGCAATACCTGCGTCAGTAATATGAATGTCGTTCATCTGCTCCGCAGGAAGGATGCTGTTCCTCTTGTGGATGCTTTTGACTTAACAGACAAGAGCTTGAATTCCGCACTGGGCAGTTACGACGGACAGGTTTACCAGCGGCTTTATGAGTGGGCTCAGAAGTCACCCACCAACACGCAGGTACGGGTGCAGCCAGGCAACTTCTGCGTTAGCCAGAGCAGAAACTGTCAGCTTTTCTTGTAATAAAAGCAATAAAGTGGAATAAGAGCTTTTAATTCTTAGTATCTCACTCTGAATAATGACCTGTGATACTCCAATTATGACACCTATAGTGTAACCCTGACAATTAACCTAACGATCAATTACAGCCCCCAGAGTACTCGAGCTTGTACCAGGCAGCTGGACTGCCACGTGCCATCAGCATGGTTTTGGTTTATAAACTTGTATCACTGAGGTAACACAGTACAAAATAAGCTAAAATACAAGTCTGTTTACATAGCTTACATATGATGGAACAACACTAGATGGCTGCAAGAGCCACTAAACGCAGGGTATTTTCCATAGATTGGTACTTCTACTAGTGCAGTATTTAATTTTTTAATAATATGTTTAACCAGAAAGAGTATAAATGCTAAAAACATGTTAAACAAGGCAATTTCATCCTTCATGGTCTTCAGCACTTTACTTTCACTTCTTAATTCATCCATATTGTGGAGTAATATAAAATTCTGCACGATGTAAATAGTTATTGCTCTGTTTGAAAACTCATTTTGCCTTAAGTGAGATTTTTACTGTGGTAATCAGCAACCCTTTGAAATTCTACAGCTGAAACACAAAATTCGCCTTCAGCAAACATTCAAGTTCAAGCATATTTTTTGAAGTTAAACAGTATGCTGTCCCATTTGGGATGAGTATTGTGTTCTGGTTACAAAGGACAGCACATATAGGGAAAATTGCACACAGCTGAAGTAGCTGGTGGTTTGGTTTTGTTTATTTTTAGTAGGCTAGCTTTCTATATTTCAGAGATCATTCTTAGGAAAAAAGTATTTACAGCCTTTTCCTTCTTCTTAACTACCATTAATCCCCTTCCACACTCTCTTTCTGAACAGATGAGCCCAGCCTACGAGATGTATTTGAAGCCACTTCTTCACAACTCACTATCGAAATTATGAAGACCACGATCTAAGCGAAGGACACACATTTCCTCCTGTTCTTTGTGCAGCAGTACAATTATGAGGCATCAGGAATGACTAGTCAGAATTAATAATCAGTTGCTTACTTTCAGTTGCAACAAGTATGAAACAAGATTCTTAGCCAGCCGTTTGCGCTGAACCAGAGAAAAGCCAAACAAAGCTGAGTGGTACCCGCTGCTATGAGGCAATCTAGTCAGAAACAGTCCACGGTTCGCTGTTTGCTAACCTGAAGTGTCCCAACAGCATCAAAACTACGCCATTTGGCTTTCTTATTTTTGTAAATCCACTGTATGACAATGAAGGAGAAAAAATAAAAAACAAACAAACAAACCAAACACACATTATGAGCTCCCCCTCAGTGTGCTATAACTGTACAGTGCCTTAAAAAAAAAAAAAAAATCCGAAAATCCGAGGAAGGTAAAATTATGGTCCTTGGTTTCTAGAACAACTTGTTCTTAGATCAATAAGAACATTAGAAAGGACATCTGTTTGGACAATTAAAATAGCTCGTAACTTGCTCAGCAGTAGAGTATTCCTGGCTAATGAAGATTCAGACAAAGCCGATGCCAACTCCACTTTCCAGAATTTACTTTCCTGTTAATAGAGCTGCTCATACTGTCTTTCTGTAAATCCTGGGCTCCAATAAAGTGTATTATTTGGAATACTGCTTCTCTAATTATTATACTTCATAATTAAGGAAAGGGCAGGCTGATCCAGGCCAGTCATTAATTTGCTAGCAAAGGAAGTGTTGCAAGGAACATCTTGTGATTGTAATTCAATGCCAGTTAACACAGATATTTCTTACCACGTGTTGCAGGAAAGAAACAACCACTTTTCTTGAGCTTCATCAGTTCAGCTTTCCTTCCTTTTAGGAAGAATAAAGCTCTTACTGCCTCATATTACAAAAGTCAAAAACCCTGCAATGTATGAAGCTGGGGAGATAAAACATGACAGAGAAATGCACCCCTGGGACAAGCCTTTTGAGTGAGAGATGGGATGGAAAGTTCCTGCCTTCCAGAACAAGCACCTACCAGAGAAATCCAGACCCCTTCTTACATCCCCAAAGAGCTGTGGTCTGCACAGCCTGGAGAGCAAAGCAGTTGTGGTAAGGAACGCTTGTGACAAGAACTTCACAGGAGAACATGATCCACTCATCAAAATGGGGATCAACTCTCTTACTCCCAACAGCATTCAAGAGCAGAACCAGAAATTCCATTGATAACTATGACAAAGTGCCCAAGATAAGCAGAAATGGCTGTACAAAACCGAGTAAAACCACAGAACTTGAGTGCCCTGATTTGAACATCACCAGCAACAGCACTCTATAGTTAAAATTATATATATAAAGTCACCAGATAAATCACTGACAAACTAGATAACTCTACTTACCAGCTACAAGTATCTAGACTCTGGGTTCCCTCCATCCCTATCCCTTCAGCTGGTACAAACACTTGCCATCTTTCTGTTAGTCATAATGCAGTTTTCTTTCAAAACATGAGCTTTTTCTATAATGAGGACAGTTTAATCAACAGATTAATATAAAAAGGAACAAAGTACATCAGTAATGGAAGCGAATGGAGTCTTACCAGAGCATCTGAACTACTCAGCAGCACGGAAAAACAGGGCTTGGGTGGGTTTTTTGTTTGGTTGGTTTTGGTTTTTTAAGTATTAGAGTTCTAGAAAACAAAAAGAAAATACAAAATGGTATTCTGTATTTCACATTTTTATTAGCTTCTTGCTGGCAGGCATTACACTTGGGAATAATATTGCACCAGGCATTAAAAATATGAATTCTACCACAGGGACATTTTGCATTTAGAATCCAATATAAATATTTCTAATCATATTTCCATGGCTACAGATAATATTTGGTTGCTTGATTTATATGCATAGAAAGAAACAGTTGTCATAACTGTAAGGAACTGTACTTATCAAGTACTTTTAAAGGGTGGGATTTGTTTTCCTAGAATATTACAATACTGTTTATTGATTTAGAAACTAAATTAGTCTACATGATAGCAGCTTTCCCCCAACTGCATCTTAAACTCTTTTTGTTTCTTGCTCCCAGTGTCGTAGCATTAGACGGATTAGAAACCATTTAAACGGAGGTAATTTTAGCACTTTAAGTTGCATCAGAGAATTGTGTTAGTGACACAAAATACCCTATTGTACTAATTCTTCAGACTCCCCCTTTCAAACAAAAAGGTGTCTTGACTGAACAGGCACATGCATGTTTGTTTTTTTTCTGAACAGGACAAAAGGACAGAGCTGCTAGAGAACGGAACTCCTCCAGTCCTTACTGATAAACAATAAATAGTCATATAAAAAAAAAAGCCCACATTGTTGCTTTAGTCAAAATCCAGACTCTCTTGGTTTTACTGTCCAATTAAGTTGCTAATCACTGAAGTGGCTCCTGCGGAGTCAGAATCAGTCATCTGTTTTCCGTGCCAGTCTACAGAAAGTCCAGTTATGCTCCACTGTGTTTTCATTGGCGCGCTCGCTCATATGATGAACTCTGGTATTCCTGATCGTGAAGCCTTGCTTTGTGATGTACTCCATCAGATGGACTCGGAGCGACACTTCCTGGTGGTAATCGCATGGCCCAAAAGTGAAGGAAACCTGGCAGTCCCTGGTGTCCATCATGTGTTTATTCCACTTGGTGAAGTGGTTTGAAATGCCTTCCAGTAACGAATGGACTTTTGTCGTGATAGTGAGCTGTGTGATGATTACAGCCACCGGGTTGGAGTACTTGGAAAGCTTCCGGGTGCTGGACAGCTCCACCACCTCCTCAAAGGTATCCACGGGATACAGCGGCTTGGGGTCATTAAGACACTGAATGAGCGGTTCGATCTGATAGAAGTCCGCCTCCTTCCGAAGTAGGTCGAACTCCTTGAAGTCCAGTGGCAAAGTGAGCTCTGAGGTCCTTAAAAAGTTAAGAACATAACGGAAAAGTGGTCCATCTCTGTCAATAAAGTAATTGCCCTGAGAGTCCCTGGCAGTGGGGAAGTCTCCCCTGAACATGGCCCCAAGCATTGAGTCGGGATATCTCGTTAGAGTTGTGAGGGATGTCGTATACATGTGTCCACCCACATTTAGCGTGACTGGATCAGTCATCTAGAAAGAGAGAAATTGCAGAGTTTATCAAGCCACCACAAGAAGATTCAATCACCTCCCTGACACACATGGCAAATACTGTTTGAAAACCGCAGACTCGGGAGAGAATCACACTTCCCCCATTCGAAGCCTTTAAGTGGTGTTTAAACCCGAACAAATCCAAGCCACCTAGCAACAAGGCACAACTGGCAACCAGACAGGATGATACTTAACATTCAGAACACACATTTCCAGAAAGCTTTAGAAATCTTAACTACTGAGCTACTGTCACAGAAGCAAGTTTTGCATTTGGGCAACAAGTTTTTTCCTATTCTACAGACAGGGAAATGAGAACAGAGAGATTTCCTGAAGAACAAGTCAGTCTGAATAAGGCCCATCAGTGCTCCATACTTAGACAATCTCTCTCATTCTAGAACAACAAAAAAAAAAGAAAGAAAAAGAAAGAGAAAAAAAAAATCAGCTGAGCAAGTCTTAAGCCTCTTTCTCTCCCTCAAAAGAGGATGACAGTGCAAGTTTAGGCAAAGGACCAAGAGCTAACAATCAAAATAATCCATGCACTACTTCAGAGGCATCATTAAAACAAGCAAACAAAGAAGAACTTTCAGCTTTTACCTCTAAAACGAAATATTTATTAACAAATTAGCATGCTGCATAGACAAGGAGGGGCAGAGCACAAACCAGTCTGGATCAGCTTCCAGATAGCACATGAGGAAGCAAGAGAGAAAGGAACATAAATCCCATCTGGCCACCAACCCTACCAACCAGGACTGAGGCCAGCCAGAGAAAAGAGACATATGCAAGGCAGCAGAATGTTTAGAGAAAGAGAAGAGGAGAAAAATACAATGCATTTGTCTAGTTTGAAACAGGGTTTACAAGGAAAAATATTTTTCTTTAGAAATAAAATGACAAAGTCCTTAGTATTATATACAGGAAGCACAAGCTATTTTCAGCCTTTGTGCATTAGGAAAACAGTAACAGCGAGCTTAAGGTGTCAGTTAAGTACCCACTGTACCTAGAAATATGAATCTGAGCTCTCCCCACAAATAGCATATGAAGTGAAGCACTCCAGAGAATATAAGCAAATTGTTGTAGCATGCACAGTGTTTCTTCTCGGACGACTGAAGCTCTGGATCTACACAAGACAGATCTGGAAGGATTCTTACCACAAGACCTTGAAAGCCCAGGTGAACCGCACAGCGCACACTTACACAGGCTCACTTACCATATATCCCCAGTCTCCATTATCCATCTGTTCAATTGCTTGAGCTGTGCTATTCCAAGTTTAACAGAAGGCTGCTGAAAGGATGTGCAATTCACCTCTTATTATCTCCCTGCAGGAAAAAAGCACACACACAAACACTAAACAAAGAACAAAACATGGCAGACCATCAGTACCTACAAGAACAACCGAGGAGAATGCTTTCTAATCAAAGGCAGGCTCTCTGCCAGGAGAGCATTCAGCTATAAAGCCACATTAGCAGAAGAATCTACAAACGAGCTTTTCCCTCCTTCTCCCTTCATGCTACCCACAGGCCTGCCTCCAGAGCACATGGGTAATCACTCCACCAGCTGTCTGACCATCCCAGTTAGGTTAAATAACAAGCAATGCGCCCCTGAGGATAACGTACATTCACAAATGGACTCCCTTCCACCTGGGAAACTGAGTACTTTGAAAGACAGATGTCCTTTTCCCAATTAAAAAAAAAAGTTTATTTAGCCACCATTGAGGTCATACATGTGATCTGTTAATATCAGCCAAAATCTCCATGCTCCAGTTTCAAACTGCACAGAAGAATAAATCAATCATGAAAGTCAATGAACAGTAAGAAAAAAAAAAATCTCACTGCAGAATTAGTAATTCAGGAGTGGAGAACCGCGACTGATAGTAAGAACGTTAATCTATGGACTAAGAGTACGAATGGACTTCACAGACACATACACCCCTCTCGAAAGAAATTTCTTTAGGAACAAGACAGAGGACATCAAACATGTTTTCAACAAGACACCAACAAAAGCAATTTGAGAAGTGGTTCATGCCGTGACCTCCCAGGAGATGTTAAGCTGCTGACTTGTATAACAAGAGGACTCTCTCCACATGAGCACGTCAAGGGAAATCCACAGCCCGGGTTGTGCAGCTCAAGGTGGGGGGGAAGTCAATGACCCCAGACACCAGTGGCAATTTTCCAAAGGTGGCCCTGTCGACCACGCCGAGCGACACATAGACAGGGAAGCCAGCCATCTGTGAGCCTTTATCCCTACCCAGAGCCTGCCTCTGCTAGAATTGCTGAAAATTTAGGTCAGTCTGTTTTAAGTAGGGTACAGCTTCTCAGCTTTGTTTATTTTTACATCTTAAAGACCACACAGTTACCAAGACTTCTGCTCCCATCCTCTTTACTAGCAAACTTCATCACCCAGCAAAAAGAAGCACGAAGATTCAGCTGAGCCAGAGCCCTACATTCCAAAAGAACTGAGGGTTAACAATTAATTCCCAACCAAAAAGATTACTCGTCCTTCTCATTCCTAGCACACAAGGTCAGTCTCATTCACCATGGAACGAGGCAGCACATCCCACCTCTCTGGGCTCTGCTACGCTGCCCAAACCCTCCGCCCAGGCACAGCACTGTCCAGCAGGTCAGGCCTTCAGGGCTGGCAGCATGAGCACAGCCTCAGCGGCATCTCAGGTGTATTAAAGAGCAGAAAAAACAAGATCAGTATATGAAAATCGTGAGGTCAGACAACAGAAGACTAAGGAATACTAAGATACAGAACTAGTCATACCAGGATCCTATTTTTACAAATTAAGAGACGGAGCATGCCTCAAGAAAGTACATGAAAGCACCCCCTCTGCCCTGACAGCAGATAAACCTGGAATGCCAGCTCTTTTGCCAACCTCTATAATTATTTTTTTAGCTCCTCACAAATCAAGAAGTGAATTCATTCAGGTTTTCTTTATTTGGAATTGTCGTTCAAGTACGGTTCATTAACTTTGATCAATAGCCCAGACCTTTTAAATTCCAGCACTTTTTCTTCTTAAGGAAAATGCACATACAGGTGTTATTCTGGTCAAGTACAGCACCAGTGCAGATGCGTTAAAGCCATGGGAGAGACCGGTATAGGTTTCTGATATTCAGGAAAAACACTAACTTGAAACTGAAATGATGCAGCCAGCCAGAGACTTCACTGGTAATCACAACAGAAGAGATTTGCAGTCTTAATAGAATTAACTAGAATTATACATACAGAATATTTCAAAGACAGATGGATGTCCATCAGAGTTATTTAAACAGGTGGACAGATACTGTGTTATTTTGGTCAGCGTCTAAGTCCACACTCCAGATGAATCAAGACTTTCTGTATCAGGGACAGAAACAGATGACACTGCCTGTCTGTACAAGGGCATGAACTAATCTTTGATCACAGCACTGCTATGTAACACCGGAGTGAATAATTTACGAGAGCAATTAGCTAAAACAAACCCAGCCCCTAACATATAAGTGGCAGCAAGAAGTCTCACTGACTTGTGCAAGGACCCAGAATCACTCGGCACACACAGACCTCCCTGGCAAAGCCGGCGCTGGAGCAAGATGCACAACGTGAAGGGATGATACCAGGAGGCCACCCTAAAATGCCTGAGTGTGATCACAACTACCTGCTGCTTCCCTCATCAGCCTGCAAGATCTGAATTTCTACACAGCTTCACAGGCAAAAATAGCTCTGTTCAGGTACAACCTGAGACAAGGTCTAGCAAACCACATCACAGCAAGGGTGGGGACATACGCCCTTTCAACGATGCTTTAAATTCTTCCTGAATGAAATACAGCGATGCATCGGTGCGGGTGGGCAGACACTTGCTCCATCCCTACTCCAGGATGGGCAGCCTCAAGCCAGCTCTTGTCCCTGTGTCACATAACCACACACTGCAGCCAGGGACAGCCTCGCTAATGGGGCCACTCGTGTCCCGACAGCAGGTAACAGATGACATGCAGCCGTATCCCAAGACAGTCTGCGTTTAATAACCAAAAGAAATACTAATTTAAGATGAAATTCAGCCAGACAAACTGCTGACACCGTTTAAGCCAAACAGGATATCATTCTCTGGTGAGAGCAGAAGCATTCTGATTGTGTTAAACCACAGTCCTGCTTTCGTTATGCTGCTTCTGCAAGCGGCGAGAAGATACACAGCATGAGCACGGTCATCACAGCTGCTGCCACAGCCCAGCGCCGAGCACAAGCCAGAACTAGAAAGGCACGATGAGAAGAGAGTACCTTTGAAGAAAAGCACTCAAGTCATCATTTTATACTTAAGACACCAAACTGGATACCTGTGTTTATGAAATGCTCACTCTTATTTCATATATGATGACTCAGAGGATTACAAGGCGATTTACCAGCAACACTGCTGCAACAGGGTAGTCCCATGAACTTCAGCAGGGACTCTCCCAGAACAGAGCTGCTAACATGCAACCATTTTGCAAGCTGAAATTCAGAGAAAGCAAATGAGAGTCAGCTGAATGTCTGCATCTGTGAATGCACACACACGGTCTCAGGACAGGCCAGGGGATGCCAGCAGCACTGGCAAGTGTTTGCACTGCTGGGAGCACATCCACTGCATTTGGTCAAGGCCACGGGCTACAGACTGCACCTGGAGAAAACCACTGCACTGGTGTCATACGCAGTTACTTGAAGGAGCAGCAGAAATACACCTAACAGCTGGAAGTCAAGAGGCACATACCACCTGATTTGCTCTGAATGTCTTTCATCTAGTTTTTCCAACAAAATAATTAAAGGATTTACTTGTAGCACCAGCCTTTGATGGACAGTTTGGTATCAATTTTACAATGGAAGCTGTTTAACCTCCACAGTTACCTCAGATTTCTAGGTCAATATAGAGTTGACAGGAATTCTACCAATGGCAACTCAAAAATTAAGAGCAAAGCTAGGGCTCTACTTACACAGACAGATATACTTGGTATTTCAAGCTACTCACTCACTTAGTGAGCTCCCTGCTTCTCACATTTACATCTCCACAGGTGAGAAAAAGAAACTCCTGCCCTCAGCACAGCTATGCTGTACTCTATTCCCCAGCCAGTCATAGCATTTGAGAGGCAAGTTTTTATTGCAAATCATTATCGGTGACTCACCTGAACTGAGAGAAACTAAGCTAGCACCAGTGATGACTGTACTCCACCAAACTGTGCAGAGAGATGACAGTCCGCAGAGCAAATCCATGAGGATCCAGCACTGTGCTACCCTAACTAAGGCAGCGAGGAGGACACAAGTTCTTAAAACAGTTACTGAATCTTCTGGTAATTCAGTAGATCAGCTTCACTAAAGAAAGCATCCATCACCTTCTACACAGGTCAAGTCCATAGTGACTAATAGTTTATTACAGATCAACTTAGTTCTTGCTTTTCACTAATACTTAGTCTTCACCTCAGGCAGGAGGAAAAAGTGCTCACATCAGCCACTCAGCATTTTCACTCTTTTATGTCTAATTGCTTCACTATAAATTCCAAGCTCCTGAAGCTTCCTTCCCTCCCCTGAGGAGCTCTACGACATCCTGGTTTAAATCCAGGTTCCAAACTCTTATTTTAATTGCTACTTGTTTGAAGAGCCCCACATCATTGTATCACTTTGACCCTCCTCTCACAAGAGCCAAAGGAAGACACTTGGATCTAGCCTGGTCCTGCTGGCCCCGTGCTGCTGAAGCAATGCGAGGCACTCCAGCTTTCAGCACCTGTGGCAATGGGCGGGTTTTACCCATGTATTTTGCTTCTGTAAAACTAGCTGGTAGATGTTTATGTGCGAAAACGTGTCTCCAAACAGCTCTGGAGGAAGGCAGGTGTCAGAAGCATTGAGCCTCCCTGCACACACCAATGGGGCTCAGCATGTGCACGGACCAAGGAGCAGCAGCAAGGCAGAGGCACAAATCCCTCCTGGGAGCCTGGGCCAGAGCGGGACCCAGACCTGCAGCAGGAGCTGGGAAGTGCCAGTTTCCATCACAGAGGAGCCAGAGAGCTGATGGTGGAAGAACTCTCCCTAGGATCACAATGATTCAGCAAAGATGCTGGAAATGAACCCAAACATTTTGCCTCCCCACCCCTACAAGCAACCCAAGAGCCCAGACCCTCAGCCCCACCCCAAACCAGTGTCCCAGCTCTGCCTCCTCTCCCGGGTGAGGCAGGAGGACACGCTCCCCTCCCAAGAGTGGGGCAGGACCCACATATCGCAGACCCTCCCTGTCAGAGCTCACTGCCGGGCACCACAGCTCCCGCCCGGCATCCTCCCTGCTCCT